AGCCCCTTTTGGCAAGGAGCGGAGCAAGGCCCAAGAAGAGCGGTACCGAGCTGTGCAGGATATCAGCGAGCGTGTGACAAAGCTTCTGCGCAAAACCAGACTTCAGGTCAGGGTCATCGTCGAAGTCCTACACTGCAAGAACCCGAGACACTTAATCACAGAGGTGATTGATCTTGTGAGCCCGACGCTCGTGATACTGGGAAGTCGCGGTCGGAGCGCCTTGAAGGGGTCAGTCCTTTTTTTCTTTTCTCCTTTCGCATTCTGTACCACCGTTGCAAATCTGACCACGAAGCTGACATGTTGTTTTAGTGTCATCCTTGGCTCCTTTTCCAATTACCTGGTGACGAAGAGCTCAGTACCAGTGATGGTGGCGAGGAAACGACTAAGGAAGCAGACCAAGTACAAGAGACTACCGGCCACTCACCAAGTCAACAACATTAACAACCCTACGGCCCGCAGCCTGGCAAACGCCAAGATTGACTAGAGACTATACCCACAAGCTCGTGTCAAGCCGAGGTCGAATTCGACATGGGAAGGGGCATCAGTTGCACGACAGAGTCCTGCTTAGGCCGGCTACGTCTCTTCCCTCAGTTGACTGACCAGCTAGTGATGCCCAGGCCGTGGGAGTCCTGCCTTTTACTCTACGGACGCAAGGGGCGGATTGGTTTCGGGATGATAGAGCAGGCTGCTGTCCCATATTATCTATTACTATTGTAGAAACAAAAGTGGTGGCAGCGGATACGACTTGGAGTTCTAGTGCTGTACATGCATGGCGCGATACGTCCACACATATGCGTATCGTGGAGAAAGTGGTGCCGTTTCTCTTTCCGGGGAGCTTACATACGACATTGATGATGAGAAGAAAGTAGGATTATACGTTTGTTCCTTTTATTCGGGATAGAAAACGGCTATTTGAGGTTGTTTCTCTTCTGCTTCTTCTTCTTCTTCGTCTTCTTCTTCTTCTTCTTTTACAGAGGGGACAGCGGTTTGGAGGTAGATGACTAGCTAATATCTAGCTAGAGCGTATAAGAAAAACAAAGAAAGAGATCTTCTCCTAGGTTTTGGTTTGTAAATGTTGTGGTGGTTTTTATGTTTCGAGATCGTGCCGCTTTCAGCCTGTGGGATGGATATGTGATTTGAACAACTTTTAATTGCTGTACACATACACTCGATAGATGTCATCCTTCCAAGGGGGAAGCCCCACAAGACCAAGGGTTAGGGGAGTCGATAAGGTCTGAACTGCCGAGCAAGGGTCGTGACAAGACCCACTCCCGAGGTTCACAAAGCATCCCGCGGGAAGCAACTCGCTGAATGAGTAAGCTGAAAAGGCGACAAAAGGATGGTAAACAAAAAAGCCATGAATGGATTGCCTGTCAGCCCCCGATCTTGATTATATCGAAACCCGCTTCCATTATGATACCCAGAGATGGATATGTCGTCTCGCGCGGATTCGTGCAATTGATTGCCATGTCTTGGGAGGAGGGGTCAGGTCAGGCTGCACCGCACGGACCGGGCTGCTAGCTGGGACAGGGACGCGGGAAGGAAGCAGGTGGTTGGCTGTGAAACATCGAATCCCTTGCTCGCTCAACTGCTGGCCGTCTCCCAGCCTCTCGTTTATGCCGTCCGGGTACCTATCAACCTCCGCAGCAGCAGGAGGCCCAATGGTCCCAATGGGTCACGCCTGCCTGATCTATGGGTCTATGGATCTAATGCTTGGATAGTGGTCGCCAGGAACCCAGGTCGTCGAGGAACGACTTCAAATCCAGCAAAGACAGAGAACGCGCCGCCGCCCGCCTGGTGGTGCCCTTCATCCCAACCCGTCGCTTCGAACCATTTGAAGCCGTTCTCGTACAACAACCCTGTCTCTCTCGCGCGCAAAAGCCGCCACCGTCTGTTGTCCGATGCAGTCGCTCTTCGCGGTCTCGGTCAACAACAACGTTTCGTTGCTCACCATCCATATTGCGCCGAGCGCCTTCGTCGCATTCCTCTTCGTGTCCCTGTTCTTCCTGTTCCTCTACCTGCCGCCCTTCCCAGCGATTCGATCAAGCATATGGTTCTTTAGGCGCAGCCGCACGCCTCGAGAAACCGCCCTTGTCTCGCGAACGGACCACCAGGAGGAAGAAGCACTGTTCGAGGACCGCCAACGACGGCTTCGGGAGATCGCGGACAAGCCGCTACCACCTCTGATTGAGTACCGACATCAAAGCGACAGCAGGAAGGAGAAGCCGTCGTCGAGTCGCAGAGAGCGCACCAAGAGGATCACCGACAAGGGAGCCGACCGAGAAAACGCAGGCATAACCTCGACCCCGCCCTCCGTCGCCAACAAATATGGCCGCGACAGCGACAGCGAGAGCCATCGGACCGCTCGATCCGCTCGAACATCTCGATCAGCTAGACCCTCTCGACATCTCTCTGGAGGACTTCGAGCCGTCGATTGGCAGTCGCAGTCGCAGTCCGCCAGCGTTCGACTACCCGTCAGTACACTCGGGGTTCCGGAGCGACGAAGAGGCGAGCGAGATGGACGATTTGGATTCGGAGGTTTCCGCCGGTGGCTACAGTCCTCCGGCCTGGAGACGCCTCGGCAACGGCGACCGCAGCAGCGGCTTCTGGCGCAAGAGTGATGACATGATGGGAGGCGCGGGCTTTGCCGGCGGCGTCGACGACAACTACCACTGGCGCGAGTCGAGCGCCGAGTACGAGAGCATGGACGAGCAGGAGCTCATCCTGGCCCGGGCCGCGCGCACAAGGCTGCCGACGGGGAGTGTCTCGCCCGCCAGAGGGCACAGCCCGGCGCCTTCGGAACACAATGGCCTTGCGCGACAGTCCAACCTGATCAGGCAGGAGCAGAATGCGCGTGGTGGCGGCCTGCAGAGACGGACAAAGGGGGTGCGGAGGCTAGAGGATGCTCCCAAGAATTGTAAGCTTCTTCGTCCTGATGAATACAAAGCTATCTATATAGACAATGCGATGCAAGTTTCTTTCGGTCTTGACTAACACGCGGCTCAGACTTCCGTCTCGCGCTCCGAGCGCAAGTCCAGCAACGGGAGCCCGTCGAAGCCGTCACAAGCTTTATCCGCTCAAAAGTGGGCTTCAGAACCGGCTCATGGATCTCCATGCTGCTTTCCGCCGTTTTCCTCAGCATATCATATTCCGCCATCCGGTCACTGTTCCAGCCAACGACCACTCTCAGACCCGTGCCCGACCTGGTCAAGGTCGCTGGCGTGGCCCGTTCATTTGAGCCGCTCATCTACTACTCCGAAAACGCCGTCTCGCAGGTTGGCGATCTGCAGGCCACTGGGCTGGCCGTATGGGACCTCAGCGAGAGCATCCGATACAGCGACATGGCCAACGCGGCCGGCATCGTGCAGGAGCTCGACGATCTCAGCGAGAGCCTCAAGGTCCTCGCTCTCGAAGTCACAAAGTTCTACGCCAGTGTCGACGGCGACATCGACGGCATCCTCATCGTAATGCAATGGGCCCAGCGCGAGCTCAACCAGCTGCAGCACCGCACCACGCTCCCGCTCTCCACCGCCTACGACAACATCTACAACCTGCTCTCCAACACGGGCCTGCTCGACGACCCAGTCGCCGGCCAGCCGACGCGCCTCGGCGCCGCCGTGGTCTCCGTGTTCGGCTACGCCAGCCCGCAGCGCGAGCTCAAGACGCTGCAGCGCACCTTTTCCGAATTCCTCTCGGTCCTCGAGGAGGCCATCAACAACGAGCTGCACAATTCGCTCGCGCTCTTCAGCATCTTCGAGGCCATCGACCAGCGCTTCGCCAACCTGGCCCGCATGGTGGTGCGCGAGGCATCGGACCAGGACAACGCCCACTCGGACCTGCTCTCGTCACTGTGGACCGTCATCCTCGGCGCCCGCGCCCGCGACCTGCGCAAGTACGAGAAGAACCGCCTGCTCCTGCTCAGCGTCCGCGAGAAGACGGTCAGCAACAAGGGCATCCTCGTCGAGCACAACCACCGCCTGCTGCTCCTCAAGGCCAACCTCGAGACCTTGCGGGAGCGCCTGGTCTCGCCTCTCGTCAGGTCCGAGAACGGGAGCACCCTCAGCGTCGAGCAGCAGGTGCGCGGCCTCGAGGAGGTCGCCGATCACCTCGAGGTCGTGCGCCGGGGCCAGAAGACGAAGATCATGGAGATTCTGTTTGGCGGGAGCGCCGCCAAGAGGGTCGAAGGGCAGCCGGGGATTGACGGGTAGCAAGTGGCTACGGTGTTTTTTATTTTCCATTTTCTTTCTTTCCGTCGCCTTCTGCCTCTCCGGTGTTTTTCTTCTGGGAGGGGTGTGTGGATACGGGAGAGAAACAGGCAAAAGTTTCTGTGATGCATTATTTTTCGAATCGGGTGTTTTCCTCTGCTTCGTTGCGTTTCGGTTCTCGGCGTAGACATACATGTTGCTGTTCAGGGGCTCGTGGGAGGGGGGGATAGGGTGGATCGAGGGCGCAAACGAATCGGCTGCATACAAACATAACATATATGGGTAGGGGGATGGATGGGTGGGGATTTACTCATGAGGTCGGTTTCCGTTTGCCTGTTTTCTACGAGATCCTGCTGCACTGCACTGGGACGGAAAGGGGAGGATGTTAGCTTTGGCTGCAACGGGGTGTGGTGTTTATGGGGTGTTATTGTCATTTTATTATCGAATTAGTTCCCACTGGTAGCAACTTGTAGTATACTTACGTCTTTCTTTTTTCTTCCTGAGATGATGTTGGTGTTTGTAGACTCTGGTGGTTTTGCTGCTTGTGCTAGGTAGATGCCCAGCCGGGAGGACATTAAAGACGAAGAAAAAAACACCTGAGCGGTGTTGATTACCAGGTTTGTTTGTTTGTCCATCCACCAAACCAGCCTATGTATGTGCTCGTTCATCAACACAAAATCCCCTGACTGAATTTAGAACCAAATAAATGGGACACCGAAAAAAGCGACGGAATTAATTGAGAGGGGGAGGGGGGGGGGAACAAAAAGAAAAGAAAAGAAAAAAAAGAACATTGATTTCCGGAGCGGGGAATCGAACCCCGGGCTATTGAGCGAACAGATCTGCGTTGTAAAGGCAGGGATATGAGAGTCAACAATGTTACCGCTACACCACACCGGATTTGTGTGAAGAAGTCAATGAGAACTCTCGTGGAGGAGAGTCCCGATTTTCCCTGAGAGGATCAGGCCGTAAACATGACTACGTATGCTGGGTGGGAGCCGCAGATGAGCGAATAAAAGAGAAGAAATTTGCGGGCGTTTTGCGTGTTGCGGGTCAGTTGTGGATATCGTGTTGTGGAGAGAGAGATCATACGGTAGTACATCGTGGCAACATGCCCCCGGATTGGGTAGGCGAAGGAATTGAGGAGGATACATGTAAAGGAGACCCTTCAAAGGATAGCCGGGAAAACCAGAGGTTATCGTTGTCGAAGGATTATTGATTTGCTATGCTTGCTGGACCGTGAGACATGGCGTAGAAAGGGGGGCTGGCATTTGAGCAGTTACATACCCCGTAGGTACCTTACACAGAAGGAACAACGTATGAGAGAGTCTTCAAAACAACAGCAGTCGAATGAACGTATCACGTCACGACTGCGAGTGTATTTGCAAGACCACCTATATACAAGCAACGATGAAATATTTTCTCCAGATAATGATTTCCGTCACATTCCTTCAATGCGACATTCTTAGCATCTAATACTCTAAAACAACCTGTTGAATATTCCAGGATAATACGCCAGATACGAATCTCCATCCCATTATTTCCCTGCCCCTGTTCGATAGGCAATATCCAGCTTGTGATGCCCACGTCCAGCACAGATACCTCAAGAAAGAAAACCAGACGGTAGCTGTATCAAACCCCGAAATCCCTATCCTACATGAATACCAAAAATAGCAGAGCCATTCGGGATAAAAAGTCGCTTCGACCTACTTTGACCTTGCTGTTATCAAATCACTATTGCAAGAAGATGAACCATTAATCAATGAAACTCTAGGCTTTTTCCCCTTTCATGATATCTCAACCAACGAGCTCAAGATCAAGCCCCGACAGCATTGACCCGTGCGGCAGGAGTAGCCAGCTGCTTCTGCTTCTGCGTCTCCGGGGACGGTGTCAGGCGCGGCGCGAGATGCAGCTCGGGGATGCGCGACCCCATACGATCTGGGATGAAGTCGATGTCTGGTGACACGGAGCGTACGGGGTACTCGGTAGCGGGTGTTGTTTGCAGCAAGCGTGAGGTTGTAGGCTGCGGCGAGTCGATAGTGGGAGAGCTGGACTGGATCTCGACGGCCAGAACGGCTTGTGGCTCTGGGGCTGCTGGCCGTGGGGGTCCCGTCCGGACCTTGGAGGGGAGGACCTGCTGGAAGCCTTGGGCAAGAGCAACCTTCTCGATGCTCTTGAAGTACTTGACAGTTTTGACTTGCAGTTCGAGGGTTGCGTCCTCGTCGCAGACAATCATGGGGTGAGGGTGCAGCTGCAGGCTGGACAGGGTCCACATGTGATTGACGCCCTGCTCGATGCATCTCTGCAGGGCTAACGCCTTGCGTGCGCCCAAGATGATGACGACAACCTCACGAGCCTCGAGAACAGTCTGGACGCCGACGGTCAGGGCCATCTTGGGGACCTTGTCGAGGTCGTTGTCGAAGAAGCGGCTGTTGGCCAGGATGGTGTCGTAGGCCAGGGTCTTGACACGGGTGCGTGAGGCGAGGCTGGAGCCGGGCTCGTTAAAGGCGATGTGGCCATCCTCGCCGATGCCGGCCAGGAAGAGGTCGATGCCGCCGACGGCCTTGATCTTGGCCTCGTACTCGACACACTCGGCCTCGAGGTCGGGGGCGTTGCCGTTGAGGATGTTGACGTTGTTTGGGTGGATGTTGACGTGCGAGAAGAAGTGCTTCCACATGAAGGAGTGGTAGCTTTCTGGGTGGTCCCGCGGAATGCCGATGTACTCGTCCATGTTGAAGGTGACGACATTCTCGAACGAGATCTGCCGGGAGACGTGTGCGTATTAGACAGGTTCAAGTGCCATGAGGCGGGCGCTGGGTAGTCGCGCTGCTTACCTCGCCAGCCTTGTACTTCTCGACAAGGTTCTTGTATACACCTAAGGGACTAGATCCGGTGGGAAGGCCAAGAACAAACGGATATTCTGGTGTTGGGGCAAAGTGCTTGATCCTGTCGATGATGTAGTTGGCAACGTAGGAGCTGGACGCGTTGGCGTCGTCTCGAATGATGAGCCTCATCTCGTTGGTTGTGGGCAGAGCGGGAGTAGAGCCGATGAATAGGTGATACTTGGGTGAGGTGCGTAGCTTGTAAGTGGAGGAGATGTGATGATGCGAGGTTTATAGGAATGCCGGCTGTGTTTCTGAAGATGCTTGGAGGGAGGGAGAGCGAACAAGCAAAGTTGGGGACGTAGGGTTTGAACCTCGTGGAGAACGGTCTGCACCGGCTATCTGCAAAGCTTCCAGCTTGTTGCGAGGCGCCTCACCTTAACCTAAACCTCACATAGCAAATCAGTGTCAGCAGCTACGTCCATCTCACTCAGCAGTCGGGGTCATTGCAACCCCCGTGGCATCTGGGGTGGCCGGCAACGGAGATGCACGTCATGTAGGTAGGTGTGAAGTGTGACGAGACGCGAGGTGCGGAGCGTGGGACGCGGATACCAGCGGTGACAACGAGGAATCACATGAGCTCGAGCTCGAGACCGGGTACGGCCCGGGTACCTGGTTTCCAGAAAGGTAGGCCATAATGGATGGAACGTGTTGTGTCGTGCCTGCCTGGTTTACTCTGCCAGGCACAGTGCTGCTCTTTCCTTCCCTGCCTACTACGTTGTGCACCAAGACGGATGTCGCGGGTGCTCGGGCAAGAACCGGGAAGGGGTCTAACGGTAGGTGATATCCAGCGACCTGCCTGCCCTCCTCCTCCTCGCTGCCCAGGTAAGGAAGGTGATGAACTGGCGATGGTGCAGTCGAACCCAGCATGGCCTGCCTGGGGTTAGGTAAGGCCTGGGAGCCGGACTAGTCCGTACCCTGCAGCTGCCGTCAAGATGCGGCTGACACTCCAGTGAGCCTCAAATATTTCCAAGGATGCACATCGACAGGTACTTACCTAGGTAGGGTGGTGAGGTAGCATAGATAAGGTACCTGGCTTGACCTTTCCGTGGGCCGGGCAGGCGCTTCATGTAAGTCCCCCACGCCTGCGAGGCCGGCAGCATGACGGTGGATAAAACCACGGGCTGGCTCTTGCCGAAACGGCACCTTATCCATCCCGAACCTCAGCTTTCCTCAGCTGGAGGGCGCTTGCTTAACGAAACAAGCTTTAGATCAAGTTCTTGGCTCGTGCTCCTTATGCCCAGTTCATCCGACCTGTTAAGCGCCAAGCATCAGTTGTCGTTCAAATCCAACTCTGTCTCCTCTTCTTCCCCACTTCCACCATTCAATTCGAGGTTGACGGGCGCACCTCAGCCATTTGCACCGGCATCACCACCACCACCACCACCACCACCGCCACTACCAAACCAAAGCAACGTTACCTCACCACTTGCCTAGGTACCTTCCTTCCATCCTCTGCGTCAGCGCCCGCAACCCGCAAGCAAGCCCTCCAGGACAAAACATCCATACCTTACCTACTTCGTACGGGCATTTGCAAGCAACATTGCCTTGGCTGTTTTGGTCCTTCCTGCTGGACGCCGCAGCGGGGTGGGTGGTGCCTGCATCGGTATCTCATCGTGCGGATACACAGTACACGTGTAGAATGCGGAGATGCAGCAGCCCCTGGTTCCTTCTTTCACGTCCCCTCCTCCCTCCCTCCTTTTCCCATCCTCGACGTGCCGTTTTTGCAGCAAGCTGAGGTGCTCTGCATTGCAACGACGCACACACCCGGTCCGTCCTTTCTACACGTAGACCTGCCCGTCGCTGTCTCTCCCTTTTTGGCTGTGGGTCACCGTCTCCTGCCCTGCCATTGGCCACAAAACAATTATTGTTGCAATACGGCATACTATCGCGAGATCGCAAGATCGCCCACTTCACTCCACTCGCTGGCTCCATTCCCTCAACATCCAGCCACAAACCCCACCCCTAGGCAAGGCAGTTTATTTTTATGTCTGTTTGGTTTTCATGCAGGGAGGTCAATCGGCCTACGTAGCTGGCTCCACCGCTGTTGTTGGCAGCACTGTAACGGCTGTTGGGCGTTCTCGGGGGATCTCTTCGTGCTGTCTTGTTCTTCTCCTTGAACCTTGTCCCTTATGCTTGTTCCCCCCCTCTCCCCTCTACCTTGCCTGACACTTCATAAGGATTTACGTGCCGCTCATGGTGCCCGTCTTTTTCTTGCGAGAGTGCGAGATGGGATTGCGAATCCTGTGCTGCTCACCACTTACACGCCCTTCTGCAACCTGCAGTTATTGCCCCTGACACCCTCGAGGTTCCATTTCCATTTCCTGGCAGCCACCTGCTCACTTACTCCATACACGTCCCTTATTGCCTGGACACCTTCGCTAGCTTCCAGAACTGGACTACTACCGACCCTATACGACGGGCACCTTAAGCCATTGTCCCGTAACCCCAAGGACAACTGGCACCCACGGCAGGTTCCATTCTGCCGTGTCAACCCTTTGGGCCACCGGGTAGTGGTCGTGTCGTGCGTGGTTGGTCGAGTGGACGGACAGTCTTGCTAGGCAATAAGAAATAGGCGAATTGTTTTCTTGTCGCTGCTGTTCTGCCTCCTGCCATCCATCCCTTCATGCCGCTCGTATTGGTTTTCTGCTGTATGGGAACCATGAACTAGCAGTCAACCCCAAACATACATGCGCCGACTTCTCAGATGATTTAAAGACCTTCCTGTGTCGCTTACGCTCTTTGGTGCTGTACCATGCGGCCCATCATATCTGCCATGACATCGCTACGGGAGGCTCTCGTCGCCGCCATCAGGTCGCTCTTTCGAGGCAAGTCCTTGATACAGGCTATCCTCGCCTTCTGGATCAGCCCGACCACCCTCAAGGACCAAGATGTAGCGCCAAGAAAGGACTCGAGGAGGACAGCCGCCGACTTCCTCAAGGACGCCGAAAGCATGTTTCTGGGGCCCGTCGATGGGGTTGGACTGAGGGAGTTCTCACGAAAGCTGAAACAGCAGTT